CCTCACAGTGACCACAGGTAACAACCTCACCCTCACAGTGACCCTGTCACACCCTCACCCTCGGTGTCCACAGGTAATACCCTCACCCTCACAGTGACCCTGTAACACACTCACCCTCACAGTGACCCTGTAACAACCTGACCCTCACAGTGACCACAGGTAACACCCTCACCCTCACAGTGACCCTGTAACACACTCACCCTCACAGTGACCACAGGTAACATCCTCACCCTCACAGTGACCCTGTAACACCCTCACCCTCGGTGTCCACAGGTAATACCCTCATCCTCACAGTGACCCTGTAACACACACACCCTCACACTGAGCACAGGAAACACACACACCCTCACGGTGACCCTGTAACACCCTCACCCTCGGTGTCCACAGGTAATACCCTAACCCTCACAGTGACCCTGTAACACACACACCCTCACAGTGACCGTCTAACGCACTCACTCTCATAGTGACCCTGTAACACACACACCCTCACAGTGACCCTGTAACACATACACCCTCACACTGACCACAGGAAACACACACACCCTCATAGTGACCCTGTAACACACTCCCTGTCACAGTGACCCTGTAACACACACACCCTCACAGTGACCACAGGTATCACCCTCACCCTCACAGTGACCCTGTAACAGCCTCACCCTCACAGTGACCCTGTCTCACAAACATCCTCACAGTGACCACAGGTAACACCCTCACCCTCACAGTGACACTGTAACACATCCACCCTCACAGTGACCCTGTAATATCCTCACCCTCACAGTGACCCAGTAACACCCTCACCCTCACAGTGACCCTGTAATATCCTCACCCTCACAATGACCCTGTAACACACTCACTCTCACAGAGACCATCTAACACACTCACCCTCACAGTGACCCTGTAACACACACACCCTCACAGTGACCGTCTAACATACTCACTCTCACAGTGACCCTGTAACACCCTCACAGTGACCACAGGTAACACCCTCACGCTCACAGTGACCACAGGTAACACCCTCACCCTCACAGTGACCCTGTAACACTCTCACCCTCACAGTGACCCTGTAACACACTCACCCTCACAGTGACCCTGTAACATCCTCACCCACACAGTGACCCGGTAATACACACACCCTCACAGTGATCCTGTAACACCCTCACCCTCACATTGACCCTGTAACATCCTCACCCACACAGTGACTCGGTAACACCCATACCCTCACAGTGATCCTGTAACACCCTCACCCTCACATTGACCCTGTAATATCCTCGCCCTCACATTGACCCTGTAATATCCTCGCCCTCACGTTGGCCCTGTCACACCCTGACCCTCACTGTGACCCTATCACACCCTGACCCTCACAGTGACCCTGTCACACACTCACCCTAGCAGTGACGCTGTAACACCCTCACCCTCGCAGTGTCCACACGTAACACCCTCACCCTCACAGTGACGCTGAAACACCCTCACCCTCACAGTGACGCTGTAACACCCTCACCCTCACAGTGAACCTGCAACACCCTCACCCTCACAGTGAACCTGTAACATCTTAACCCTCACAGTGACCCTGTATTACCCTCACCCTCACAGTGACCCAGTAACACCCACACCCTCACAGTGACGCTGTAACACCCTCACCCCCACAATGACCCTGAGCACACTCACCCTCACAGTGACCATATAACACTGACCCTCACAGTGACCATATAACACTGACCCTCACAGTGACCCGGTAACACACTCACCCTCGCAGTGACCCTGTAACGCACGCACCCTCGCAGTGACCCTGTAACGCACGCACCTTCGCAGTGACGCTGTAACACTCTCACCCTCGCAGTGACGCTGTAACACTCTCACCCTCACAGTGACCCTGTAATACCCTTACCCTCACAGTGCCCACAGGTAACACCCTCACCCTTGCAGTGACCCTGTTACATCCTCATCCACACAGTACCCTGTAACACCCTCACCCACACAGTGACCCGGTAAAACACACACGCTCACAGTGATCCTGTAACACCCTCACCGTCACCATGACCCTGTAAAACCCTCACCCTCACAGTGACCACAGGTAACACCCTCAACCTCGCAGTGACGCTGTAACACCCTCAACCTCGCAGTGACGCTGTAACACCCTCAACCTCGCAGTGACGCTGTAACCCCCTCAACCTCGCAGTGAAGCTGTAACACGCTCAACCTCGCAGTGACCCATTAACACTCTCACCCACACAGTGATCGTGTAACACCCTCACGCTCACAGTGACCACAGGTAATAACCTCACCATGACCCTGTAATATCCTCGCCCTTACCTTGAACCTGTAACACGCTCACCCTCACAGTGACCCTGTAACACCTTCGCCCTCACAGTGACCATGGAACACCTTCACCCTCACTGTGACCCTGTAATACCCTCACCGTCACAGAGTCCACAGGTAACGCCCTCACCCTCGCAGTGACACTGTAACGCCCTCACCCTCACAGTGTCCACACGTAACACCCTCACCCTCACAGTGATGCTGTAACACCCTCACCCTCACAGTGACCCAGTAACGCACACACCCCCACAGTGACCCAGTAACGCACACACCCTCACAGTGACCCTGTAACACCCTCACCCTCACAGTGACCCAGTAACGCACACACCCTAACCGTGACCCTGTAACACCCTCACCGTCACAGTGACCCAAAAAGCCCTCACCCTCCCAGTGAACCTGTAACGCATGCACCCTCACAGTAACCCTGTAACACACTCACCCTCGCAGCGACCATGTAACACACTGACCCACACAGTGACCGTGTAACACCCTCACCCTCACAGGGCCCCTGTAAGACATTGACCCTCACAGTGACCCTGTAACACCCCCACCCTCACAGTGACCCCGTAACACCCCCACCCTCACAGCGACCCTGTAACACACCCACCCTCACAGCGACCCTGTAACACACACACCCTCACAGTGACCCTGCAACACACACACCCTCACAGTGACCCTATAAGGAACTCAGCCCCACAGTGACCTTGCAACACACACACCATCACAGTGACCCTGTAACACCCTCACCCTCACCCTCACAGTGACCCAAAAAACCCTCACCCTCGCAGTGACCCTGTAACACACCCACCACCAAAGTGAACTTTTAACACCCTCACACTCAGTGACCCTGTAACGCACGCGCCTTCGCATTAACCCTGTAACTCACTGACCCTCACAGTGACCCTGTTACACCCTTACCCTCACAGAGCCCCTCTAAGACATTGACCCTCACAGTGACACTGTAACTCCCTCACCCTCAGTGACCCTGTAATATCCTCACCCTCATAGTGACCCTGGAACACCCTCATCCTCACAGCCACCCTGTAACACACCCACCATCACAGTGACCCTGTCACACCCTCACCCTCACAGTGACCCTGTCACACCCTCCCCCTCACAGTGGCCCTGTAATATCTTAACCCTCACAGTGACCCTGTAACACACACACCCTCACAGTGACCCTGTAACCCACTCAGCCTCACAATGACCTTGCAACACACTCACCATCACAGTGACCCTGTAACACACTCACCTTCACAGTGACCTTGGAACACCCTCACCCTCGCAGTGACCCTGTAACGCACGCACCCTTGCAGTGACCCTGTAACGCACGCACCCTCACAGTAACCCTGTAACACCCTCACCCTCGCAGAGCCCCTGTAAGACATTGACCCTCACAGTGATGCTGTAACACAGTCACCCTTACAGTGACCCTGTAACACACTCACCCTCACATTGACCCTGTAACACCCTCACCCTCACAATGACCCTGTAACACATTGACCCTCAGAATGACCGTGTAACAGACACACCCTCACAGTGACCGTGTAACACCCTCATGCTCGCAGTGACCCTGTAGCGCACCCACTCTTGCAGTGACCCTGTAGTGCACCCACTCTCGCAGTGACCCTGTAGCGCACCCACTCTCGCAGTGACCCTGTAGCGCACCCACCCTCTCAGTGACCCTGTAGCGCACCCACAGTTCTCCGTTTTCAGTGACCATGGGCCTGGCTCCCTCCCCCCCACCATTCTCCATCCCCTCCAGCCACAATGATCCACTTACATTGCTGTAGCACCTTCCACCACCTCCTCATTTCCCAAAATGCTGAACAACTGGTAAAATATGCTCAAAGTGTTGTCACCGTGTTGTCAGGTAGGAAGCAGTTTGGTAGGATGGAGGCAACTGCATGCATGGTAAGATCCCACATACAGAAATGACATGAGCCAAAAGCTACACTGAAATCCAAAGCTACACTGGCCCTATCCCCTACCTCTTCCTCCGTTACATCGATGACTGTATCGGCACTGCCTTGTGCTCCCACGAGGAGCTCGAACAGTTCATCCACTTCACTAACATCTTCACCTGGACCATCTCCGAGACCTCTCTCTCTCTCCTTCCTGGACCTCTCTGTTTCCATCTCTGGCAAGCATTTCTGAAGAAGGGTCCAGACTGGAAACGTCAGCTTTCCTGCTCTTCTGATGCTGCTTGGCCTGGTGTCTTCATCCAGCTCTACACCTTGTTATCTCAGCCAATAAGTTGTTGATTTAGGAGTAGGTATTAGCTGGATGACCTTTCCCTATCCCTCCTTTGAAATATCAGTCATGAAATATCCATCGCACCACATATTGAATGAAGGCAATACAACAGTTCATTTCTTTCTTTCTAGAAAGTTCTGCCAGCTATGCATGGGTGTTCACCCTCTTACCTCTGAGTGCGAGTGTTATGGGGACTCAAGTCCCAGCCCCAAGGCCTGAGCAAATAATCCAGTTTATTACGGCCTTCAGGGCAGGACTGAGGGAGTGCTACACTGTCTGAAGCACTGTCTTTCGGGAACCATTGTAAACAGAGGCCCCAGGTCGAAGTGAAAGATCCTGTGGCCATTATTTCTCAGCTGAGTTGAAGAGTGCTCCTTGGGGCACTACCCGATACCTCACCTCTCAGCCAACATCACTTCAAAACCCATCGATTAGCTGCTTATTGTCACATTGTGCTGCTGTAGGCATTTGCTGTCACACCTCCAACAAAAGCAACCTGCCTTTGTGTGGCGCCTTAAATGTTTAAAACATCGCAAGCTGCTTCAGGGAGACATTATCAACAAAAAGCCTTTAGGTCAGGTGACCAAAAGCTCAGTTGAAGAGGCTGAGTATAAGAAGCTCCTTATAGAGAAAAATAAGGTAGAAATATAGAGACAGAAGGAGGGTGGTCTGTAACTCTGTAAGGTTTGAAAACCCAACTCACTTTGATAACATCTGATTGGGTCTGGGGGAGAACAGTTTAGGATCTGGGAGGAGTAAGTCTTACTGTCTGTGTCTCCTTCATAGTCTCTGTAACTATGGTGATAGGTAGATTATCTGATAAATGATAGTGACAATTGCCCCTCATAAAGTACAGAAAAGGCCCTTCAACCCATCCGGTCTGTACCACCAACGCTACACGAAATCTACACTGGTCCCACTTGCCTGCAGTAGGCCCTTAGCCCTGAATGTTCTGACATTTCAAATGCTCATCCAAGTACTTTCTGCCTCAACTACCTTTTCACATTCACCCTCTGGGTGAAAAATATTTTCGTCAAATTCCACCATTCTCTTTAAAATGCAGGCCCCTTCTGAGTGACTCAGGGGGTTAGCTGCTTTCTATCCACCCTGACCATGCCCCTCAATCTTATACACCTCGATCAGCCGCCATCAAACCCCACTCCCCCACCCTCAGCCTTCTCTGTTCCAAAGAAATTCCAAAATTTATACAGCCGCGAGGTCAGTGCAGGTCAGTAAACCCTCCCCCCCCAAAACATTGATGGGGAAAGGGGGCTCTCTGTCAGTTTAGACACTAGCAGTGAGTTGTGGAGAACCTCAGCTTCAGGCCAGGGTGGAGACAGGCGCTTGCTCAATTCAGGTCAAAGGTTATTCTTCATTCGGATGTCTGGATCTGTTTAATTCAGACCAGGTCAGCACAAAGAGGCTGAGTTGGCCATGATTTGGTTGAGGGGGTAGGAGGGGACTCGATGGGCCCTGCCTCACTCTAGCCGGGGGGACAGAATTGATCACTGTTCCAGTCTGTCCTTAAAACTATCTGTACTGGATTGGACTCTTCCTTAAACCCCAACGGGGTAGGCTGCGTGAGACTGTCCCCAGGGGTGAACCGGGTAACAGGGTCAGAGGTCACGCCAGTGTTTGGCTCAGCCCTGGACGTTCTTTCCTGAATCTCTGAAAATGTTCGAAGTCTCATTTGCTTCTTCTGTTAGAGCCAGTGAAAGCGGGTGATGTGGGGGAACTGGAAAGGCTCACCTTCTCTGACATCACGGCCCACTCCCTGCGCCTGGCTTGGACAGCAGAGATGAACTTTGACACCTTCCTCGTACAATACCAGGTCGATGGGTCCAAGGAGGCGCACAAGCTGAAGCTGCCTGGCAACATTCGCTCCTCAGTCATCACAGGCCTCAGGCCTGGCACCCAGTACTCCATTTCCCTCTATGGCATCTTGTCTGGCCAGCAGACTAAACCGATCACCGGCATTTCAACTACCACAGGTCATTGTCATCCATCAAACCGCACCAGGAGGCTGTTCAGCCCATCTTCCAGGGGATGGGAGCTGGGCCAGCTTTTATTGACCGCCCCTAATTGCCCTTGAGAAGGTGGTGCTGAGCTGCCATCTTTACAGTCCACGTGGGGGAAGGAGTTGGTGGGGTCGGTGGGGCCTGGAGCCGATTGCATGTTGGCAACAGCTGGCATAGGCCACTCGGCCCTTCGACTGTATTCCACAAGATCATGACTGATCTGGTCGTTCCCACCTCCCCACTATAACTTCCCAGCCCCTTGTTTAACAAGAATCCATGTCCCTCTGCCTTAAAATTACTCGAAGGCCATGCTTCCAATGCTGCTGGGGGAAGTGATTTCCAAAATAATCACAACTCCCATATGTGAGAGAGGAAAACAAGTGCCTCATCTGTTTTAACTTGGGTACCTGTTGTTCTGAGAAATGGTGACGCCTAGTTCTAGAATTTCCACGAACAGGAAACATTCTTTCCTGTCAAGATCCCTCAGTTTCCTCGATGTTTCAGTCAAGTTACCTCTCACTCTCCCAAACTGCATTGGATGGAAGCCAAGCAACATCCACAGGTCTGTTAGGAAGGGTATTTCAGGATTTTGACCCAGGGACATCGAAGGAACTGGATATAGCTCCCAGTCTGGGTGGAGGGGAATTGAAATCTTTGTGTAAGGATGCCGCAGCTCCCGATCCTCAATACTAACAAATTCCATCATCAGTAATTTGTCTCTTTGTTTTTTGCCATTTAACTTCCACAGAGGCTGTAAAACTGGGCAATGTGTCCAGCTCTAACATCACGGCTAACTCTGTCCGACTCTCCTGGACCGTGGACAAGGCCCGCTTTGACTCCTTTTTAATCCAGTACAGAGTCCAGGGCTCTGAGGAGACCCAGAACATCACAGTCACGGGCGGACAACGATACCACCTCATCGTAGGCCTCAAGCCTACTACCAGATACACCGTCAATCTCTACGGGATTTCTGATGGCATAAGAACAGAGCCCTTATCCACTACTGTGACCACCACAGGTACCTTGACCTTTATGTCACGTATTCTGCCTTCATCGGTCAATTAATTTGTACCTTTCAGAGAAAATATTCCAGCCTGTTCCATCGACACGAGCTCCCGGAGGGAAATTGGCTGTTTTGTTCCACATTTTAATGGCTGGGGATAGTCTCTCTGAGAAGGAGCCCCACAGGATTGGGGGAATATAGATCTGACACCACCCTCCCACCCCACTACACCTTGTCACACTCGGTTCCCCCACTTTGATTCTGGGAAGTTTACTGCTCAGAAACAGACCGCGTTCTCCTCATGTGTCTTTTCTCAAATATCTCCATTTAAGCCAGTCCCCATATCCCTCTATCCCTCGGTCTCTCCTTATTTGCCGTCAGCCTTTCACCATCACCCTGTGGTAGGGAGTTCCACGTTCTCGTCACCATCCATTGAGAAGGTCTCTCCTGAATTCGCGATTGGATTCTTGACCGACCTCCTCATGTTGACAGTCACTAATTCTGCTCTCCCGACACAAATGCAAACACTTCCACCATTGGCTGCTCCAAACTCCCCTTCCTGAATGTCAGCGTTTCATCCGCCTTCCCTATTCCCTGTCCCGTTCACTCCTCACTGGTGATTCATGTTCCATAATTGTACAAGTGAGATTTTCTCCGTGTTCCCTGTTAACAAGTGATTCAATGGAGGGGGTTTAAGGTGATTGAAGGATTTGATTGGGAAGGAATGTCCTGCCGTGCAATAATGGGGCATGATCTTTAAACCAGGCCTCGGCTGTTCACGGGTGAGATTGGGAAGCACTTTCTCAGGGAAAGGCTCACTGGATTCTGGAACTATCTTCCAGCTGGAAGGGGGCCCACTGAAGGTTTCACAACTGAGGTGGATGAGTTTCCATTGGGTCAGGGTTAAAGGAAGGTGGAACCGAGGGAGACAGACAAGATCTAGCTCCGTTGTGATCTAATCGATCGGGATCAAGGGGCTTCCTGCTGTTAGTGGCTTTTCACCTTCAGTAAGAACTTTCACTGACTGTAACCAGCAGTTCACCCGAGATGGTGCCCCCAGAGAGGGTTATCTCGGAAGGCCGCGCTGTTAATTTATAGCAGCGTAAGGACAAGGACGTGCCGTGAAATGGTTTATCGTGATTTAGTTTCATCCTACAGGCCTCGGCTGATACTGACACTTGGAAGTGAAGTAGGTTTGGTGTGTTGTACAGTGTGACACAGCGAGCAATCATTTCAGACTCACATCCCACACCAGGCACAGGTTTTTAAACCGCTCCCATCTCTGTGCAGAGCTCAGGGTTCAGTCAGACTGCTCCCCCTACCCCTACCCCCACCCCGACCCCACCCCATGCACGCAGCCTCTCTGCCTGAGGCCTATTGCCGGAGACGTCGGACAATCGCCATGGCAATTCTCAAAGGGAGAGGGGGGAGGGCCTGACCTGAGAGGCCACGGCCTCAGGCAACAACCCATCACAGCCATTCAACTTTGTAGGCGGAAGGGCTTGCATTTACATAGATAGTAGGAACTGCCGATGCTGGAGAACCTGAGATAACAAGGTGTGGAGCTGGATGAACACAGCAGGCCAAACAGCATCAGAGGAGCAGGAAAGCTGACATTTCGGGCCTAGTTACATAGCTCTTTTTCCAACCTCCGATGTCTCAAAGCAGCCAATCAGGTGCTCTTTCCATGGGTCTGTCAGTTTTGTGCACAGCAAGATGCCACAAATCAGAATGTGACAATGACTCAGGTTTTTGTTACAGCAGTTGTTGGAAAACAAATATTGGGTCCAGGACTGGGAGGGAGAGAACAAGGGCTGTGCAGTTATAAACTCAGGATGTTTATGTGATGTCCCTCGGTGAGTGAGGGTCCCTCGGTGAGTGAGGGTCCCTCGGTGAGTGACGGTCCCTCGGTGAGTGACGGTCCCTCGGTGAGTGAGGTCCCTCAGTGAGTGATGGTCCCTCAGTGAGGGACATCCCTCACACACGAGCACTGTTCCAGCTGAGGTTACAGCAGGAGAATGCGCCATGTCTGGGGATAGATTTCCGCTCTGACAACCCCCCCACCACCCCACCCCCCACCCTTACAAAGATGTAGCACCAAGTCGAGGTGTGGAGATAAGGTTCACATCAATCAGGCAGTGAAACAGCCTTGAGGAGGTCTACCTCATCACCCTCCTGTTCCTCAAGTCTAAACAACAGGCCAGCTCCTCACTGTCTGACAACACCTACACACTCCCTCAGGCCCTCCTCGATATCCCACTGGTGGATTGTCCCCTCACTTGGAAAACTGCACACTCACTCAGGCCGTCCTGGATATCTGACCGGAGAATTGTCCTCTCATTCAGAAAACCGTACACTCCCTCAGGCCCTCCTGGATATCCCACTGAAGGATTGAACCTTAATCGGAAAACGGCAGATTCCCTCAGGCCCTCCTGGATATCTGCCGGAGGATTGCCCCCTCACTCGGAACAGCTCAGATCTCCCAGCTCCGAGGGGACAAGATTTTGGGAGAGAATTCTAGAACATTCTGGAATGCGAGGCAGCCAGTGGCATGTGCAACTGTTGCAAAGGCTGGGATGGGGAGATATCCCGGATCCTGCTGGGTCTGACGGAGATGGGGAGGATTTGATGCATGTGTGTATTTTTTAAATATATTCTCTTCCCTTCTCCCATCCAGTGGAGGTACAGCCACAGCGAGGCGAAGTGAGGGACCTCACGGTATCGAACATCACGGCCCAATCCTTCCGGCTGTCATGGGTTACCGAGAGGGAATATGAATCCTTCTTCATCGAGTACAGAGCTGGGGAGGAACGCAAAGTGCGCAAGTTCACAGTTCCCGGTGACCATCGATCGACTGTCATCGCAGGCCTCAGGCCTACCACCAAGTACACCCTCTATCTCTCCGGGGTTTCGGCTGGTCAGCGCACTTCACCGCTCACCGTGACCGCCACCACCACAGGTAATTTTAGAAACGCGCTGGAATTCATTCTCATGGCAAGAGACTGTCGCTCAGGCAGAAGCACAGCTGTGCCTCTGCGAATCACAGGCCAACCATCGCTGTTTCAGAGCAGCTCCCTGCAGAATGACACAGAAAGGTCTACGTCACAGCTAGGAGGAGCTGAACATTCAGACCTTCAAGCCTGCTGCATCACTCAGGTCTTCCCCTCCCCCCGTCCAAATCCCCAAAATCCTTCCAAATAAAAACACGAAAGAACTGCGGATGCTTTCCTTCACAGATGCTGCCAGACCTGCTGAGCTTTTCCAGCAACTTTGTGTTTTTTTTTTGCCCCGAATCCTTCCATTTCCTGAATGCCCCGGAATCATTCACTCTCCGTCTTAAACATCCACAGCAACAGGCCATCGCTAGGTCTCCGGAGCGGAGAATTCCAAATGTTCACTAACCTCGGAGCGAAGACATTTCTCCTCATCTCAGTCCTCAGTCGCCCCACCCCTGGGTCATGTTCTCTGACTAGGACCCCTTTTGTTCAAGACTCTAAAATCAAGGGAGCCGTCCATTGTTCAAAAAACAGGCCATTCAGTTCAACTTGTACGTGCTGGTGTTTACGGCCCGCATGTCCCTCATCCTATCGTTTCCTCCCTCATCCGCCCACTGGGCCTCCCACCAATGGAGAGCTGCTGCTGGCCTCCCTGAGCATTCCCTGTGGAAGTGAGCTCCACAATTGGAAGAGAAAGCAGTTGGTGGGGGCTGCAGGGGAGGGTGGGAGGATTGGGAATTGCTGGGGATTATTTCCAATGGAAAGGGCATTGGCCCAGGAGTGATTGTTCTGCTGCGCCAGCCTGCTCAGGAGAAATGAGAAACCTGCTGTTTGTTTTGGTGCACTTTTAAACATTTCAGCACCCCCCCACAACGAGTACATGGTGACAGAAGCTAATTAACTCCTGGCGGTCATTCAGACTTTTGAACATTCATGGAGGAAGGAGATCATTATTACCAAGGAACGATGGATCAGATTTAATACAAAGAACCATCTGCCTGGGAATAGCTTTCCTCCTTTTCCCTGGAATGACCATTCCCAGGGCAAGGGTTTGTCTTTCCTCTGGCCTCTTCCTTCAGTGGGATGGAAGGAAGTAGGGGAGGGAGTGAGAAGAGGAGAGATGGAGCAGAGAGTGGGGGAGGGAGTTGGGGTGTGGGGAGGTGAGTCAGGGAATATGGAATGAGCAGGGAGTGAGTTGGGGAGTGGGAGAGGGGGTGGGAGGGGAGAGGGAGTAGTGGAGTGAGTGGGGAATGGGAGAGGGAGTGGGGAGGGAGGGAGTGGCGGAGTAGGGAAGTGAGTGGGGGAATGGGAGAGAGAGTGGGGAGGGAGTGGGGGAGTGGGAGAAGGAGTGAGAGTGGAGAGGGAATAGTGAAGTGATTGGGGAATGGGAGAGGGAGTGGGGAGGGAGTATGGGAGAGGGAGTGGGGGAAAGGGAGAGGGAGTGGGGGAGTGAGGGAGTGAGTGGGGAATGGGAGAGG